CGCCGACCCCCACCGCCGTCGTCACCGTTGGAGTTCATCGGAATTAGGGCATCGTCAATATTAAGGTAAAATCTTTTTAAAAAATAATTCAAATTTTTTGTATATTCTCACAATTTCTCGGTGATTACTTGTAAAAAATTAGATTTTTAAATAAATTTGTAATTATTTATGAAATTTGTGAAGAAAAATTAATATTGTGTATAAAGTTAGAGGGGAAATTATTAAAAATTTGTAACCGTGAAGTTAACAAAATGTCAAGTTTATGGTTTCTAATATCGATCTAAGAGATTTAATGGTTAAAATTATGGGTTTCTAATATTGATATTGAATTTTCTACTCTTCAGAGGTAACGATGAACGATCGAATCGTAATTCTTTGTTCATATGACGAGAAGATTAACTATCTCGAAAATAATATGTCCGTTTATGAAGAAGGTGTCACGAAGTCGTTGTTTATATCAAAATTGTTTACTTTCAATGAATTAGTTAATGACTTACACAAACTTACATTAACCAACTCATGTGAGTATCACCTCAATATTATTTGCAATTATCCTGTTAGGGGGGACCTAACAAGCGGCATTCAAATCTCAAGTGACTATGATATGGGTCTCATTGGAGTGTTACATGACGAGAAGCGTTCGGTAGAATTATTTATTAAAAATATCAGAGAAATTTGCGCAAATCGGTGAATCACGACGGAATATACTCCCGCATGTTGGAGGACCTTGAAGTTGACTCCGTTGGATTTTTATCTCCGCAACAAGATGAAGGTTGGACACAGTTAGGATAAGTGAGCGGTCCTTCGTTTGTGGGCACTTCTAATATCGCTACTAACACGGCCCATCTAGATGATAATGCAAGTGTCGAATCTGAGGATGGTGATGAAGAGGATGTGTTACAAATTAATAGCATGACGTGTTTGATTGATCATGATGAAGGGGACAACCAACACATTAACGGATGTTATACTAATAATTAGTATGTCGTGTTAGAGGATCCGCCGTCCAATAAACTTCATGGAGAAAAATGGATTGATAACTCCACGATGAAAAGTATTCCTATCGGCACTAATATCGTTGATGATACACAAGGCAAAGACTTCTCATTCAAGAAGAGTGATCTATTTGAAAGTAAGGAGAAATTGATCCATGCGCTTCGTTTGTGGGCCATTGAAAAAAATGTCAAGTTTAGGCCAATAAAAAACAACGCAACAAAGGGAGTAAAATTGAGTTGGGGTGACCAGGTTTCCCTTGCCAGCAAAAAAAAACAACGCAACAAGATATAATGTTGTTTGTTTTTATCGCAAAGATGGCGAAGACGAAGATAATGGTGGACACCACGACGGCAATGTGAAATGTCCTTGGAAGCTTAATTCACGCTTGCGTGTAAGAGTATGCGGACAATTTAAAATCACGGCTTACAATGACTCCACATATGTAGCAATCCTCGATTAGAGATGAGTAGCAAGTATGCGTCTGCATCTTTTATATATCGATTGATTTTACCTAATCTAAGGGAGGATCTTGATCTAAGGCCAAAAAGGTATTCGTCTTTTAGTGCATAAAGTGACCAAATTTGATGTATTATACAACAAGTGTTGGAATGATAGGAGGAAGGCGATGATAAAAATATTCGGGGATTGGGATAAATTTTATGAGATCTTACCACATTATCTTGAAGCACTCAAAAGAGAAAATTCGTGGACTATTTATGAAGTATCATCAGACCCTGTTGATGGCAGAGAACAACGGTTCACAGATGTATTTTGGGTATTTGGCCCTTGTATTGAGTGTTTCAAATATTGGCGTCCTCTTCTTAGCATTGATGGCACTCACTTGTACGGTAAGTACAAAGGCGTTTTGCTTGTTGCAATCGGAGTTGACGCAGATGGTGGATTATTTTCTTTGGCATTTGTAGTGGTTGATGTTGAAAACACAGAGAATTAGGTGTGGTTTTTTTCATGTATTAGATATCATATCCCTAGTGTGGGGACGCGGTCGATTACATTCATATCTGAAAGGATGAAAGGAATTCCAAGTGCACTACAACAACATTTTCCATCACCACATGAACATCGTTATTACTTGCGACATATTAGGGACAACTTCAAGAAGAAGCATGGAAATGGGCAGGTTCAAGATCTTCTTTGGCAAGCCGGATGTAGGCTGTCTAAAATCACAACAGATAGTTGATACCTATCTAACTTTAATCAACATCTCAACAATGAAAGTTATAATCAGACGACTTTCACGTTAATAAAACGAAAGCTACAATTGGAGGATTTGCATGTAGATCGAGAAAGATTATAATTCAACGACCTTCACGACGACTGATGAAAGCTCTGATTCAATAGCCTTCATAATTAACCGTGAGAGTTACAATCTGATGACTCTCATATCCCAAATAGCTAAAGCGAAGATTATAGGACAATTGTCTTTGCAAACGCTTCAATAGAAGAGGTTACAATTCAACAACCACTTCTAAACGCAGAGTTCATCTCTGCGTTCAATTTTTAAAATACAGGCGGCCCCTGCGTTTTCAATTTTCAGCAGACGCCCAACTCTGCGTCTCACGCCTAAGACGAAGAGTTAAAACCCAGAACACCCACTTCAGCATTTGACTTGTTCAAACACGAGTTGAACGGTTTCTGAACCGTTTTTCCCACGATCTGAGGGATCTCGCCCACTTAGGAGCAGATTAAGGGGTTAGTTACACCCCTTATCTTCCTATAAAAACCTCAACAAACTCAACCGAAAGGCGGTTCAGAGTTTGGTTTTTGGATTGGATCATCCAAGAGATCATACTTTGGCAGATTGAATTCGGTTTCGAGGGAGTTATTATCTTCTGAAGATCAGATCTTAGAGCATCACCCAGCAACAAAGAGTTTTAACATTTGGCTATTAACCGAATTCTCTGTTCAAACAACTCTTTTCATAGAGTTTAAACTCATTTTGAGTTCATAAACTCGTTAAGAGTTCTTTTTCATACTTGTCACACAAGTTAAACGTTCCAGTAAAGAGAGACGTTCAGATTATCAACGGAGAGCAAACTCGACGTGAGTATTCGAGAGAGGCACTCTATCGCCGCTGTGAAGAACCAAAAATTAAACAAAGGGGAGGATTTATATTGATTCTCTTCTCGTTTATAATCAAAAATTCAAATTGCAATCATTTAGAGATCGAGAGAGTTGTAAATATTCTTTTTCCAAGCAGTTAGAGGGAATAAATTAAATTCAATTCTTTTAATTTTCTTCTTACAAATTTTCTAACAAATAAAAGATGGTGACTCTGCTGGGGACAAGCTTCTCTGACGACGAAGTGGTGGCGTAATCTGACATCAATCTCGCTGGAACAACCGTCGAAACTCTCATTGTAGAGTTCGATCAAGCCAAGTATGAAGAAGTCCTCTCCTCTGGATCGCTTAGCCCCAAGGCTAGGTGCAACATCCGCAAGATCTCCAAAGAGATCAAAACTCCAATTGTTGCTACAGTGCTGAAGAAAGTCCTCTCCTTTGGCCGAGATTGTTTAAATAGCCCCTCCTCTAAAGGAATGGGCTCCGACTCTGCCAAACTCATTCAACGAGTTAAAAGCTTCACACCCGAGTCGACACAGCGTGTAACTAACGGGTCACAAAAGGCCCATCGTGGCGACCAACTCCGTCAACGCTAATGACATTACTGCAAAGGCCTTGAAATAGGCTAAAAAGAACGCCGCTCGATGA